ATAGCTACATAACACACTAAAGAAAAGGAAAAATAGAAATCGCATCATATGACCCGTTTAAATCTGAAAGTGAACCATCTATAATGTTATTGTCTCTCAAAAGAAAGAGTTGACTGAATCATTGAAACGACTTTTTTTTAAAACGAATCCCAAGCCGTTTAATGTTGACATCAACATGAAACATTAGCATATTGTCCGCCCACTTGTTGGTCTTTTCAAATTGGTCTGAATGAAAATGCAAATTCATTCTTTGCCACTAGGTGCCGGTTTTGGAGCGGTAAAATAGCTGTTTCCCCGGTAACGCTGTACACAAAGCAGCACAGCTCACAAGCGCTGCTTTATCAGGCATTACAGGCTCATGATGAAATGAAAATGAGACCAATCGGACCAATCACCGCAGATTAGTGTCACGCAAAGGAGGGATATGGAAAAATTAATTGTTGAGCGAATGAGTCATTAGTCATTGAGGAAATAAGGTAAAAATAAATGCATATTATAAGAAAATGAAAGTGTTTTTTCATGCATGTCTTTTTCAGCACAGTCTGGCGACAGTCATTAACCTCTGTGTGTGTGTGTGTGTGTGTGTGTGTGTGTGTGTGTGTGTGTTCATCGTTCTGTCTCTCTCTCAGGCGAGTCTCTTCCCTGCTGCTCTCGTGTACTTTGGCTCAGACGTGAGGACAGGTTTGTTAACATCTCTTTCATCTGCTGTCCAAACCAATGACATCAATTTAATCTGCTTTACTGGAAGCACACAGTGCATTCTGGGTAATGGGAGCATTGAGCCCTGCTGGTCATCTGATCGTTCTGTTCCACTCACACACTTACTGAGTCTATTCTGGTGAAGTTTGTTTCTGTGTGAAGGACGGTCATTCCTCTGACACTCCTCACATTCATTCACTGGAATCTAGAGGACAGGAAGTGAGCTGTAATCATATCGTGTGTGTGTGTGTGTGTGTGTGTGTGTGTGTGTGTGATTCCACAGGTGGTTTCTTGCGCTCTGATCTTCTGGACGTCAGCGTCTCCACCCTACAGGCTGATGAACTTATAGCAGGGTGAATATTTCACTGGATTTCTCTTTTTCCTTTTATTGAACTGTCAAATATCAATAATAATAGGGTAAAAAAAATGTAATATATATTATAAGAATATATGCAAGAAACTAAATTAAAATGGGCAAAGAAAGGAAAGGTAAAGATAACACTAAGACATGCAGCGGGTAAAATAAGTTTTGAACACGTCAGCATTTTTCTCAGTAAATATATTTCTGAAGGTGCTGTTGACTTGAAATTTTCTCCAGATGTCGGTAACAACACAAGTAATCCATACATACAAAGAAAACAATACAAATAAGTTCAGAAATTAAGTTCTGTGTAA